ATTTTTTGTTCCTTTTAAGCTTACGAGTCTTACTTGATATTCATGCTCACTATCCAGCACAATGTCGACAATGTGGCACTTCTTATATCGTTTCATCTTTTCAATACACTTTTTTATAAATTCTTTATCCTCACAATATCCTCAAGAGTTGTTTCAGTGTCTTTTGTCTTTCACTTTCGAAAACACCCTCATTGAGTTTATCTTTCATAAGATGAGAGCTTTTGTTCTTTTTGTTTTTCTCATCTCTGTATGGATGAGCGAGTTCAGAGAAAATAAGAAGAATCAAATCACCAGCAAAAGCTCTTGATTTAGCTCCGCTCTATTCGGTGCTTTAATGAAAACTAACGAAGGGGGAAAGTGAAGAAGCTCGAACGATTTTTATTTTTCTTCCTCGGCAGAATTCGAGTGGGTGAAAACAATTTTTTTTGTTGTTTCTTGCCGGTGGATTGTGCGGGTGGATGAAACATGTTCACATATGAAATCTTCTATTTGGATAGTTTAAGTAGGTATGAAGTAGATTTCGCCTTCTCATTTTTCATGCGATGTTGAGACTTTCTAGGATTAATTTAATTTCTTTTACATTTACCGCACCTTTACAATAATTTGTTTTTTCACCCTCAAATAATTATGACGTGAAAATGAAAAATTATCAAATACTTTTACTATTTTCTTGTTGTTTATGGAACGAGGAAATTATGTATAGGGAAAATCATAAAAGGGGAGCAAATGGTAGAAAAATAGAAACTTTATTGGAACGATAGAGGGAAAATTGAATTTAATTATCGCCATGACACAGATGCATACTTAAAACAAGAAATAAATGAGGAAATGTTGTTATAAAAGTATGAGTGTCACGGAATGGCATGCTTCTTGAAGAACGGAAGTGCCTAGTTATGAGCATCAAACTAAAAGCACTTAAACATCGAGTGTGATAATTGTCAAGAAATTGACACTCAAAAAAACACAATAATGTCCTTCACTTTGATGCAATCATAAGCTAATATTCACTTAATCAGCTTGAGACAAATGTTCACTTCCCGAACGAAGAGCGTTGGGTTTACAATAATTCAGGTTCGTTCGTGTTTACACATTCTTCATGGAGTGAGTGAGAGAAAAATAGGTCAATGCATTGATGATTCTTTGATTCACGGTTAAGGAACGAATTATCATGGCGACTTTCAAAAAAAATTATTTCGGACTTTGACTTTCCTCAAATCATTTTCACTTTCATTCATAAATTAACTAACTCATTGATAAAATTGTCTCGACATCAACCTTGAAAATTCGCTATTGCTTTCTCTCTTTCTCTCTCCTTCTCATCATCACTTGTATCCATGACGGATTTTTTTTATCATAAATTCTTTCTAATTTGACATGGTAAGTAGTCATCATAGAAAATAATAAGAAAATGGTTTCAATGATTACTATCAAAAAAATATTAGTGGAATCAGATCGATTGTTGAGTTCAACCAAATACACTCTCGACAGGCAATCACGAAAGAAAAGAAGAAAAAAACTTAAACGGCGAGCAACCATGAAACTTAAAAATAAAAATCCATGCACTCACCAATTATATGAAATTAGATAATTTTGCACCAAATCTAACTATCTGGATAAGGCGCCTTGATACCTTAACACAATAAAAATAATTTAGAATGATTTTCGGCACACTTATGAGCCTCACATAAGCTGAAATTTATGTCAAACTTGAAATGTGTCTTTTTAAAAATAAAACGAAGTGAAGACCTCTTGCTTAGTAACTAAAACTTCAGCACCATAATTATAAATCAAAAACAAACAATTTTTTCGAAACGTTGAAGAAATTTATGATTCTTACTTTGTAGAAAATTATGATAATTCAGGATCAATCAATTTTTAATAGTAAAACTATCTTAAAAGACCCATTTAACAAAATAGAATTTTATAAATTTCCATTGGAATGTGCAGAAGTCAAAAAGGGGTTTTTAACAAAAAAATTGAATTTTTCGCGGGAAATTTTCTAACGAAGTACAAATTTATCAAAACGTGGTCAGTTTTCATGTTGAGTAAACGAAGTTTATACCTAATAAACTGAAACTTATTTTTGATATTTAGCGAAAATATTAAGTAAAAAATTTTAAACATAAGCAATTGATGATTTGTGAAAATTAAAATGATTAAAACTTAATTGTAGCAATAAAAAATGAAAATTTCAAATCATTATCAAAGTGTTGAATGACACTAATAAGGAACCAAATTGTTATCACAAAACGTCAAATAAAAGAAACATGTTAGATCAAGAAAAAACATGTTTTTCAATAAGATGCTCTCAAAAAATTAAGACTGTTGTAATTATCGTGAAAGAAACAAACATGTTCAATGATTAGGATTTTCATAAATATTCTGCATAATTTTAACGGCTTTTTAAATTTTATATTTCCAGAGACATAGAAATTGTTTGGTTCTCAAGCATGTTGAATTTAAAATGTCGGTTAATTTTATGGAGCTAAGAATAAGAAGTTAATTAACGTTATAAAAAATATGAATTTGTTTATATGGAGACACATGTAATAAATAATCATCAAAATACAATAGATATTTATTAAACTCAATAATCAAATAATTTTCAAACCCATCAATCTAGAAATATTTTTATCTACTTACTTAGGATTAGTTTTCTATTGTGATCTTCGCCATTTTTGCGATGTAATGAAATTGCATTAGTATTTTATTGCAAACCATAATATTTAATAAATGCCTTCGGCAAGGTGAGAAATTTATGTTAGAGAGGCAAACACAAAGCTAACAGAAGGAGAAGAAGATATACGACAGATGTAAGAATATAAAATTGTTTAAAAACTTTTTTATATTCTAAATCTTTATGTACTTCGATGGAAAAATCATGGCTGCATTTAGTTTCTGCTCCTTGGTTTCGTCTATCTTCTTGATCACATTATGTGACTATAAATTTAAAAGTAATAACAATATTTATTTATGAAATATTATTTTACGATGGTACGAAACAGATTTAAAATTTTTAAACATTGAATATTAACAGGGGCTCAATTGAGCTGGTTAGGTTGCGATTACACATTATTTCTGAACAATAAAACTCACCCTAGGCATCACGGAAGAGCGACGACATAATGGGTTAGTTTAAACTTTTTTTGCAACTCACTTACAAAACACATGAATGGTTTTCCAAGCACGAATAAAGAAATTAAATTAATTTTATAAATAAAACTTTAAAAAGATTATACAATTTGACGTTGAGGAAAACAAAATTTCCAAATCTCATTCGAAAAATTATTTCTATGAGGAAGAGAAATGTTTCAAAACATTTGACTGAAATAAACTTTCGCGTGGATTAAAACCATCTCAAAATTTATTGCCCGAGGAAAAGAACACAAAAAAACGGTGGGTTGAAAATAGAGATCGTGATCATAAATTGATCCAATAGTAGACTGTGACAAAAGCCGCAAACAAATCCCAGCTGTATAATAACTTTTAATCTTTTGTGTAAATCACGGCGTGCTGTTTCCATTTTGATTTCAGTTGGTTTCCCTTCCCTCACCCAATGCAACTATTCTTTGTATATTTTTTTTCTCATTTTTGAAAGACTCTAATTTTGTTGCCAAAATAAAACATTGTAATTAAATTTTCTCTCTTGCTTCTATTTTGAAACTTTTTCCATCTTTCATTTAATTTTGTACAGTAACGATAGAAACTGTGTCATGGTTGATGTTTCCCTATTGGGTATATGCCTTTAGTCTCGATATATGTTAGTTGGTAATTGCAACCCATAATTTTAACGCCAATTTGGCTTTATCCATTTTTCTTTGTTTGATTGAATAAAGTACTAAGTGCGAAAACATAACTACATGAAATGAAACGTTCAAAAGAGAATGCTGATCGTTGGTTGCGGCTTTTTGTGTTGTCTTATTTGTATCTGTATATATTTTATCGCCATCATACGACGTGTTATTATTTGATTTAGTGGTCAGTGGACGGGTCTTTCATTTTGTGTTTTGTGCCGAAATGAAAATAAAGAAATGTATATATCAATGGCCACAAAGCTAAGCGGATAATTTATTAAAGGGATCTTCACAAACTCAACACCGATTATTGCACAATTGGTCGTCTTAAGGGTAAGTTTCAGAACAACAAAGCAATCAATGAAGACATCAATTCTTTTAAAACATCTTTTCTTCTTTCGGTCCTCGGCACAATTGCACAAAAAGGATCAACCGACATGAATTGGTTAAACCATCAGTCGCCTTTCAGTTGCCAATTTAGAAGAATATCCTGAAGATCAATTGTGCGCGGTTTCTTCTTCTTTTCTCATATGAAATGAAAAATGTAAAATGTTAGGTGAAATGTGTCTTTGAAATAAAAACATCTTTGTTATTGAAAACCTATTAAATGGAAGTTTAAAAAAGAAAAAGAAAATGAAGATGTTTAGAGAAACTTTTTGGTGCAATGTTAAGTAAAACTAGAATGCATGAAATGGTTTGCAATTCATCGAATCTTAAAGTACATTCTAGATGTAAAATAACTATGAAAATATTCCAAACAAATGGAAGATAGGCGTAAACCGTAAACCCGGTGCTTTCTTGATGTAATTGTTTATTAAAATCTTTGATGTTCCTCGTCGGTATCTCGAGAATAAGAGCAAATAAATGTGAGAAACAAACGCAAAATATTTTGTCTTGTTCCTCGCTCAATTCCCTTTCTCTCTTCCCTCGTGCTGCTTAAAGAAAATTTTCGTTTTTTTCATAAAGCAATTCTTGTCTTCAATGAAATGAAAAAGAAATTTTTTATTCATCTGATTTCCGAGTGATTTAAAAAAGTGTCAGCTTTCAAAGAAAAGGAACGAAATGCGGTGGTTTGATGATGATGCTTAATAACAAAAATATTTATGATGCTTTCTTTGATTGGAAGAACAGAAGAAGAAGAAAATGATGATGAGAATAAACATTTCCCGGGGATCATGAGAACATGAATCGAATCCTATTACACAAGACTCTCCTTGTTGACTTCATTTCATTGTATCAAGTTTTTGAAATGTGCCGCACATCCTTGATACGATTCACACATCAATGGAGTAGCCACTCAACGTCATCAAACAGATGAAATCACACAAACAACAGCATCGACTTTCGTTGTTTATTTATTTTCCTGTTCTTTTTAAGTCGGTCGTGAAGCGTTTGTGACAGCTTCGTGACACATAAAAAATATCAAAAATCATTTTCAATCTGAATAAACACGAATAATAAAAAGATTTGAACAAGACAAGAGATTTTCATGACCTTTTATCCTCGAAAAATGAGTTGCATTTGTTGTTTAAGTAAAAAGTCGATTGAAAAGTGTAACGAATGAATTCTTACAATCATAGTTTGTTGTTATTACAGCAACATCCATCACAGAAAAGAAACTTTCATGCGAAAGACTCCTGAACGCGATCACCGTTGTTTGTATTCCATTTTGTAGCGTTACTGATTTGTTTAAACGTAAATAAATAAATATGAGTTTCAAGCTGAATTAAATTAAGTTGAAACAACTTTTTTTTTCTTCCTTTTCTTGTCACATCCCTAAAAAGATTCATTTCGTAAAAGACTATATTTATGAAGGGTTGACTGGGTTATTGTTTGCTATATTAATTCATTTTTAACCCTTCATTTGCTGCTTTAAATGAACGTTACAGGGAAACATCAGATTTTCTGTTGGTACAATGTTGTGCTGTATGTGCGCTTTTCAAACAATTACCCTTGTTAGGGAAATAAATGTAATTGTGTGACGTAATATGAACGAAAGATGATGTTCATGATGACGATTCCCGTCTGTTAAGGAAGGAGTGTCCTTGTCATATTGATGGTTGCCGAACGAATGAGAGGGTTGTGATTTTAGTCTGTTATGTTCTATCATTTTAATGGGCTTTAATTAAAGATTTATTTTAGATTTATGCTGATGTTTCCTTTTTTATGTTTACTGCATTATAAAATGTCGCTTTTATTATGATCTTGTTGGAATCACGTCACCCTCCAAATTCAGAAAAAATAACTTGAACCGACCTATCTTAACAAAATCGACTGAATGAAGATGGAGCGAATAAACTCACTGAACCAGTAATGTGCGTGGGAACATTGAGGGGAGAAAGTCGAAAGTTTATTGGGGAAGAAGTTAATGTTTAAACAATTCGGGGTTGGTGTTAATAGGAAACAATTGAAATAAATTGCTTTTCCGTAATGTTTTAGCACATCATAATGATAACGAAATGCAAACAAAGGCTTAGGGTTCTCTGCAAAAACCAAAATGTATTTGTAGGGGGAGAAATTTGTGAAACATGATCGTTTAACTCAGTACACAAATCGTCTAATGATTTCATAATTTCCTCTTAACAAAATTCTTTCATTTCTTTAAAACGATTAAATGTTGACAACATTTTTACAATCTTAAACGTAAACTTTAAAAATGTTGTTAATACTTAACGCAAACAACATTTAATCGGTGTTCATAAAGATATTGAATTACGAAGCATAATCTGAGTGAAAATATTTTGCGCAAATATTGATTTTTGAATTAAAAGATTTTAAGAAATATTTAGATGTTAATTTTATTATCATCGGTTGCATTTTAAGACTTTGTTCAGTGTAAAATAAATTTAAACCTTGTTCGAATTAATTGTCACGTGATTTTCGTTTCATTTTGTCACACATTTCCAAGCATAACTTAAAAGCAATTTCGCTGCAAAGTGAGAAGAAAAGCAATAAAATAAAATTTGCCTCAGTTTCCGCATTGCATAATATTTCGAATGATAATTTATTGCATTTCGTTATTTGTTTTCCAGATTAATAAAGTTATCAAACGATTGATATCTTGTGGCCCCGATTTAGTGGCAACAGAAATAAAATGCAGCAGTCATTTCATGCAATTCTATCGTGAAAATCGATTTATATTTGTTCGTGTAAATATTGGCATGAAAGAAAAATGTTTGGGAATCAAATTTAGGGGCTTTATTACTTAAAACGAATAAATTATGACATTTTGCATTCTGCATTTCGCACCATCTGATGTTTCACTTCTTACCGGAGGGTTGCGCAAAATTATCATTTAAAATATGGTCGAAGTTCGTAAATATTATTTTGCTTGTTGAACAACATAACTTCTGTTGATGAAGAACGTTTTTCATTAGCTGCGCACTGAACTGTAGTTAAATATTTAAGCAAGCAAAATGAAGGCAAACGACGGCTCATTGTTATAAATACTCGTACGATGAGAAAACTTCAAATGCGCATTCGATTATTGTTTCTTTTCTTTACCAACTTATGTCGGAGTTTCATTTGAATAATCGACACTCTGTTGTTGCTTCTTCTGCTACATTTAATCCAATTCACTTCACACTTTTGTGTATCAATTGCGGCTTGATCGTTCTAATCGTTTAATAGATTCTCGAGGCTTTTTTCGGTAAACGCATTACATTCATTGATTCTTTTAAGTTTCATTTTTTTTCCTTCCTTCTTACAAATGTCTGAACCAATTGATACGCTATTCCAATTAGAGAATGAATCCATTATATAATTATTCAATTATCATCTTGAAGGTATTTAGAACACAATAAAGAAACCAACGAAAAAAAAAAACTAAGAAGATTCTTTAAAGGCGAGTTGTTGAAGATGAGAAAACATAAATTGAAAGATCTAGAATTTCTTAAATGTACAAAAAGAATCAAGAGCCTATTAAACAGTAATCGGACACCATCTATTTAATCAATTCTTCACTGCTCCACAAAACTTCTTCAGTTCCAATTCCATTCATCGTTTATTGTTTTGTGTTTTCAATGCTTCTTGGAAGTTCCCAAGCGCTTAAAAATGGCTAATCAAATAATTAAGAAGGAAGAGCTCAGAATGTGACTAGCACAGTGTCGTTTAACAGCAAAAAATAAAAGTTTTCTTCTTAATGTTGTGCTTAAGCATCATGAGAAGAAACAAACAAAGGTGTCAAGTGTCGAAGGTAAGGAACATGTCTTAATTATTGAGTGGCTAACGCTATTGTATAATTTGTGGTTAAAGAAATCTTTGTTGAAATCTGATGCATTTGTTTTTCTGCAAACATTTGGAAATGTCTCGCATTGTCACCAATTTTTTCTTCTTCAATTTCTTGTTAAAAGGAACTTGAGATTTCTATCAAATTATTTACTCTAAAAGGTGTGATAAGCCAGAAATGTTGAGAGAATGAAGAAAACTGCAACAGGATACGTCATTTTAGCCTCGAGACAATTTCTTTACAAGGAATTGTTGACAATCAATCTTTGAGGTTTCTTTTATTTAATTTAAGATATTTTAAGAAGAAATTAGTATTGCTTTAATATCGAAGTAATCAATTTTAAATGTTGTTGCAACAAGAGAAAAGTAGCTGAAAGTTCGTTTGAGTTTTGGACATCAATCGTCGATGCATCTTCGTCAAATCAATGAAAAAAAAAGGAATTCGTTTAAATAAAGATGAAGAAGATCCCAAGAAATCAAATAAATCAGTCGGGATCTTAAACATTCTTTTCTTGAATCATTTGCGAGATGTTCCCAACAGATTTCAACAGAAAGCATACAATTCTAATACATCATTCGGATGTCACAACTAAACATGACAAACAATCGAGCATCACAGCAGGTGAACGAAATTGAATCGAAACTTGAAAAGATCATCGAACGTTTTGTTTTGCTTCTTGAATGTTGCGCTATAAGAAGAAGGAAAAAAAAATATTTCACCAGAAATTCATCCATGAATTGTTTGCTTTTCTGGTCGATCGATCATAAAGTTTTATTTGTACGAAATCAAAATGTTGACAATCCAGCTACCAAACGAAACATGAAGCTGAAGATTTCTCGAATTTCTATTTAATGATTTCATATCCAAACCAAAAATTGGCCTTCTCCGGGAACTGTGACAACAAATAAACAGCAATTTTTCTTTTGTTCGCCGTTGGATGTGTGTACATACAACATCATGTTACATCTTCATTGTTGATCAAACAAAATAAGCATCATATTTTTCAAACAATGCCTGTCGACTGTAAAATGTGTGTGCTAATTCACCGAACGTTCTTATTTCCCTTGAATTTATTTCACGAGATATTAAGGGGGAAAACATTGAATTGAACGTTGTTTTAGATCTTAAATTGATACATTTTTTAAAGAAATTACTTACTTTGCTTGCGTTTACAATGAAGCATCATTATTTGCCTATTCGAGCTAAGTAAGAATCCGAGATGCAGACAGATATCCAAGCAGAAAAAAAGGGAAATCAAAAAGAAACCCTCTCGAAAATGTGTAACATAAATTCATAACTAATGCTACAAAAGGTGTCAAATTCGGCAATGAATTGGAAACACAATTTGTAGCATTTGTGTTTGTGGATTTCCCATTTTAATGATGGTAAAATCTGTTGACATGGTCCATTGACTCTGTCACAATGAAGAACATGTCAACTTTTCATTTTTAGATTTTCATTAATTTGACTTGATTTGTGAAGTGCGAAATGATGAAAGCTCGAAAAAAAAGTACCTAAAAATGTTCTCTTGGCTCGATGGAGACAAGAGGAAGATGATTTGATGATACATTTTAATGACTCATCACATTTATTTCATCGTGTCATAAATAAAAATTAATTTTCGTTTCTTTATGGATGAAAAATGTCTAAAGGAATCTCCGGTATTGTCTGTGGAGTCATAAAAACATCTTTCATGTTAGACAATCAATAACGATTTGTTTAGTAAACTATTGTTGGCATATTTTGGCTGATGGCTCTATTTCAACTTCATTCTATCTTCGGAGACAATGACGCAACAAAATCTCGTTTAAATCCAATGTCAAAAGGAAGAAATGAAAAAAATGAAAGAGAAGAAGAGTCGCGACGAGAATTGAGATCCTCAGGTGGAATCATTTCATTTATTTGATTAATTTAATAAGATTATCAATCTTTGTTTTCTTCACGATTTCTCAGGGTTGTTGAATGTTGAGAATTTATTTTTGTAAATTTTCCAATGACATTCAATTAATGTTCACAGCCCTTCATTTGATCATTCCTTCAGAGAATGCATGATAAGCTTATTATTATTTTATTTATTAAGATCAATCCACTTTATGAAATTCTTTTCTCTCTTCATTTCATTCTTCCCTCTGTTGAGTGACATCAAGACACATTGAATTCGTTTCTAACTATTTGTTAGTCCGAGGTAATCTTGATTAAATATTTTTACATTTCTACAGAAATATTTTCATGTCATTACGATATGATGAATTACGTTGTACATAATTTCTTTTTTGTTATAGTCATTGGTGACTTTATTTCTTCAATTCCATTCCCTTAAAGAAAAGGACAAAAGGCGAGTGCGAGAAAAGTTAAAACGTGAGCCATTGTACTTCGTTTACATATTTTTTCAGACTATTTTTCTTTTTCGTATTCATTTTTATAAAAATCGTGACGAATCGGTCGTCAACAACATAAAAGTCCTTTCAACCTCATGAATTTTTATATTTTCTCCATCATTCTTTTGATAAATGAAACAATTGAGTACAAAGTCAAATATCTGATATGTATATATTTTGCCAGCTGCCTTTCATATTTAGACCAACCCAATTTTAAAGGAGCACATCAGAAGCGGGCATGCACATCAAAAAGACTCTTTTCATCGTCTTTATATGGACAAGAGCTATCAATATAATGTAAATTGTGATAAAAGAAGTTATAGACTGCAGACATATGTCGATCCACCAATGAAAAGAGTTTAAACACCTCAATTAACTGTTAGAATTTCCAACTTTCAAGTCTCACTTTACAAACTCATTACATCAGAAGCAAATCTCTATTCATTTTCCGAATTTAGACTTCAACTTTCGAAGCTTACAAATTGTTTGTTTGATAATATATTAACTTTATTATGTTCAAACAAAGAAAAGACTTTTTACGCAAAGACTCGTTATTATCCATCATTAGTCGTCGGCGGCGGTCAGCACAAAACATTGAAAATTATTTTATTAACAATCTTTTTGGAGAAACTTACAGCATCATTCTACATACAACGAACGCGATATTCAATTTACTCAATGCCGGTCGCGCGGCTCCCTTTCTTTCTAGAGCTTAAGGAGAATTCCAACAAGTCAATTATTTTATTGTTCACCGTCATCTACCACAATCGTGAGTTGTATTGTAATGTTATAATGATTTAATTAATAAGCAAGCATTTATGATATGTTGTGCGCCAACAAAAGTTTCTTTCTCTACCTTGCTGTCCCGTTTTACCTTAGATGGGTGTTGCTGGCAATGCCTGCGCCCTGTCTACATTACAGCGCCTTTATTTCACTCGTGAATGCCATGAAAGTAAAACTCTTTGTTGAACTTCCAAATTGATCTAATAACATGCTGTGGTAGCCGACGACCTCAGACGTCTTTCCACAGTTGACTGTTGTTAGTGAGAGAGATGGAAATATTTCTTATTGAATTATAATTTTCTTATAATTTGTTAATAAGAAACAACAGCAAACAAACAATAAGCGTCATTCGGTATAATTTGCACCTGTATTAAGTTGATCGTGCGCTGTAATTATCTGTGAAGAGCACAAAGAAGCGAAGGTGAGATTGAAGAAAATTAATTGGAAGTTCTATTGATAATGAGAACGTGCATTTTGAATGCAACTGCGGTAGCCACTGGCTGTGAATGCATTCAAAAGACTTCACGTGACGTGTGAAATTCTTTCATAAGAAGAACCATCAACACCTTTTCGAAGCCGCTTAAATATTTTATACAATAAAACACTTCGTGAACTTCTTTATGCTTTGCCATTTTAAAAATGTCAGGATTATGTTGCAATCGCTGTATAACGATGTGATCATCGTTGCGGTGGTAAAAATGTAAATAAGCAGTAGAAGAAAAGGATAATTTATGAATATCTGATTTTCTTCATTTCCATTTGAATTCTGCACCAACTCGACTCATATCCATATATCGTAGGATATTTAAACCAGCATACTACAAACCAATTACATTCAACACGATTTAAGATTATGCTACAAAAAATAAATCATTAATAATGTTAATTGCGAGTGCATTTCGATGTCGATGAAGTTATTTTGATTCAGATGCTATATTATGCAGCTTCTAGATTGTAGCTTTACTTTTTACTTTTTTGTTCGTTCAACCTTTGTAATTGGATATTTTTTTCATGCTTCACCATTTCATATTATTTATATCTTTTTTGCCAGATTAAATAAATGCGCGATGATTGTAAAATGTTACATTTATTCACTCGCTTCCCTTATAACTTCAATAATAATTCAAAATTCCATTTATGAATAAAATGTGTCGCTTTAAAACGAACTTCTAACCGATTTCTTTTTTTATGAAACTCAAATTAAGCTTCTACTTTCATTAAAAGTTACAAATTCATTCAAAAATGAAAATAAGATCAGATTACAATCTATTTGTGTACAAAACATAAAACATTTATTTTAGTAAAATAGATCGCAACGTATGAGATTCGGAATCAATTTGGATCTGGGAGTTTAGTTTTTATTCCCATTCAACGGCTAATTTCAAACGACATTCACAGCAGTTTCTACTACGATCTTTATAAGCTGTTTATGTCATCGTCAAACGTTGAATGGATAATTGATGAATGCTAAGGATGCTCAAATGTAAGACGATACTTTCTGCAAACATCTTTCTTATTGTATTGAAAAAATATTGTGGTGCTAATCCAAGTGAGTTAAATGAAGGCGGTTTGTGATTTCAAAATATTTCTCTTCGTCTTCTTCACTCAATTCTTTGTACCATCACATGACGAGATGTTCATGCGCAATTACATCGAAGCTTCAAAAGATTGTTGGTCACTTTTTGCAAGAACTTTACGGGTAATTTCACTTCTTGTTCATTTTAGTAAGAAAATCGGTAATGATGATCTTCAAATTATGCATAAGATTTTTGTTTTCCTTAAAATCTGTTGAAATGAAGAATAGCTTTCATGTGAATAGATTTTTTTCTGCTTCAAATAATAAAGAATTGTTAGAGTTGATTTATTTAATATCTTAAAGATGTTTATTTAAGCAATTCATAGCAATTCATAAAAATATGAAGAATAACGTTTAATTAACAAAATGCTTCTTGTGTAACTTTTTTAATAAAGAAATCATAAATTAAAGGGCATGTAATGAGTTAAGTACATTGATTTTAATTTAACCCAACCTTCAGAGTCATGACAGTTGACATAGAGGGAAAATGTTTTCAAATTTCTTTCTGATTGTCGACATTTTCACTCGACATAGCTCAAAAATTTCTCTCACCGGAAATTCCAAATGTTTTTCATAAATGAAGAAAGAAATAGAAAAATATTTTGAATAATTACGAAAATATGTAAATTCAATTCACATCTCGATACCATTCACGATCCGCCAAGCAAGTCTCTTGTTTCACCAGACCTTGATCCGTCGCTCGACCATTTTGGGTTGTAAATAAAATTATAAGGTGTAGAGTTGATTATGAAACAAAACCGAAACTATAGCACTCGAAGTGCTAATTCTTTTAATCTTCGGTAGCCGAAAAGCAAATTAATTAGAGAATAATGCCGTAAAATTCATTATAACATACATCTTATTCACTTCGCCATGCTTTTTGTTTCAAACGCTTTTATTTCGTTTCTCACTTCGCCGCTTCAGGGCTTAAAACATTTATCAGCTTATTACTTCGTAGTATCTTAAGTCACATTACTCATTCCCCTGATGTCATAAACTGTCGGAATCACTATAAATAATTTTTGTATTGTTTGTTTATACAATAGAAAGAAACATTGAAATAATATTATTAAGCGAATGAATTATACTTTTTTTATGTGGTTGTATGTTTAGCTTAGCTCGGTTGTTCTCTTTTTGTTTTCTCACCAGCGCCAAAAATTAAGACGTACGAAATATTCATTACATTCATTACGATCAAGGCGGCATTTCAACGGAAGCCCTCCCCATAGCTTCTCCCTTCCACACACATTCACTGAAATGTAATGAAATGAAATGACAGTCCAAAGAGTCACGCTGAAGGTGAATTTAAATTAATTGATGCGGTAAGCTACTGTAAGTAGAAATTCTCATTTTGTTACTTGCCGGATTATTTTTCCACTTTTATACAACCGACTGCGTTGAATCTAGGCGGCTGTGAAATGAAATGGTGAACATGAAACTTAATGCAAAATAAACAAATTGCGTGTTAATTTATGTGCATGAATTTGTAGCGTTTAATGAATTATGTACTTTCATCATCGCTGATGATTAATGTGACGACGATCCATGGATTTTAAAACGAAATGAACAAGTTAAGCCTTAAGAAAATTATTTGAAAGGATTTTTGAACTTTGAAATTACTTTTAATTATAACAATACTCCGCCTTTGAATGGATTATGAATCGAGTAAAAAGGAGAAAATCTCTGCTTAGCCATGTCAAAATACTGATAAATAAATCTTTTTAAAATGATCTACTTATGAGAATTGGCTCTCGACGCAAAGTTTCGTTTAGCTTTTCCTTTCTTTAAAGAACGAGAACGACAAGCAATCGCATTAAACAAATACTCGAACTTTTCTTTTTGCATATACCTGAAAACATTTTATCATAATAAGCATTGTAGAGAAAGTAAAGTTTTGGATTATTTCAGCATAATATTTTCTCTTGAAATTGATCCTTTTTCTTTTAACAACTGACATTGCCGACACTGAATTTTTCCTTTCTTCACAAAATCGCATTTGAGACAGTTTTAATTCTTTTTGAAAGTATTTTTGTCACTCCCATGTACCTGCACATCATTTCATCTGACAAACAATAACAACAACCAGTAAAATGTGTTGAACGACTGATAATGTTTAGCTTTAATTATCATATTCTTTCATCCTTGTTTCGTTTGCTCAGTTTAAGTAGATTCGTTAATTTGTCACGCTCGGAATTATTGAAGATCGCTTCAGCAGCTTAAGATTCTTAATAAATAATAAATTGAAAAAATAAAGATCGTCGTTCGTTGTTTTATTGGATTTGTTGTTTTGTGAAGAAGGCAAAACATCTCACATCGTGTTTTGATTTATTTTCGTATCTTATTTACCTTCATTCATTCTCGGACGCCTTTTTCCACCTTTGCCGCTGTCGTCTTTTCAACGGTTTCAGTGTTTTTGTTTTCAACTTAACAATGATATATTCACGAACATTTATAATTCTTAGGGGTCGCTCGACAAACGGAGAATTGAGATGGAGAAAATTCTGAAAACATAAGATCTGAGACCAAATGAGCCGACTCCACATACAGACACATAAAAACATAAAAGTTGTTGTCCTATATTGGGTGCTGATGTCTCAATTTTCTATCTTCTTCTTTTATTCTTTCCTCTTACCTCAGTTTCTTATTCATTCTTTCTCAAGACGATTAATTTTGTGGCAGAGCATGGTAATCTTACAATAAAAAGTGTTCTTTTAAGAGGGTGATTCACATTAATTAAACTTCTTTTCAACAAAATTATCCCAGATGATTGAAAAATTTAATTTGAAAGATTGCAATTCGTTTGACTTTTTCAACTTTCTGTGGTTAACTAGCAATCGAAACAGTCACACACACTCAACTTTACCTTCTTAAATTATCGATGAAAGAAATTCTGATTTATTAAATTTAAAAAATTTAAAAGTTACAATGTGTTGAACTGTGTGTTTAAAATTCTGCTTTCAGAGGATGAAGAAAATGTGATAATTTATTACGCGAATCAAATGTTCTTATTTAAAACTCGCTGAAGGACCTTCCTAATGAAGCAAGTGCATAAGAATTATAATCTGTTGAGTTTGCAATTGGTTCCATTTCATTATAACATTAACAAAAGAAGACACCATACGGATATGCACACATTTATAATCGAAATGTTTTACATGAGAACCGAAATCAGGCCAATTTATAAAGTTGTCTTCGGATGCTGTGAGAAAAATATCCAAAAAAATTAAGGAAACCCTTTTTCAGACACTTTTTCAAGAGGAAAAAATAGAAGTCGTTAGTTGAAAGAAGTTTTTATGGTTTCATGCTTCTTGGGTTCTTATAAAAGAATGAAATGTTCATTTCGCGGATTAGAGTTATGAGAAAAGGATCACAAGTAGAAAGAAGGTAAACAATGGATCTTCATTACGAAAACTATCGAATTCAATTCCAATTTAGTCAAGCCTTTTTATTCTATTTATCCTTTTACCGAAATGTGTTTGAGTACGGTGCGGGTGTTTTGTTGAGATTTATTCGAGAATATAAATTTAATCCCTTGAAGGGCTTTCATGCGGTTTACGGGTGAGACGTTCGTACAATAGTAACAATAATGATGATGCCAAATGCCCAATCAACCACAAAAACAAAGTTTCTATTGTTGAACAAGGGCTTTGGTTGGGAATTAACAACATTTGCAGAGTAATAACCATGCAGAAAAGATAATATTTTGATATAGTTTTACAGATACGAAAATAAATATGAAATGTTTCTTTTAAAAAACAAGATAACATCCTGAGATCGCCATTTAATATAAAAGAACATCAATTTTGATCAGATTGAGTTTCTTCACATTAAGAAGATGTTCAAGTTTTAAAAAGAAATCTTTTAAGGATTTTGAAAAATGATTAAAATCAGTCTGGGTGGGCGCGAAAACAACCAAAACCAGATGCAAGGATATCGTATGAACTTAATTTATGATGATTGAATTATCAATAATGTTATGCAAGTCATTAAAACTCATAATGTTCATGCATACTAAACACACCTCTTTCAGTAAGTCTCCTTCATGTTCAGCATTAAAGTGCCGACATTTAGGCACGGGTCGTTATGAGCTTCTTAATCTTCAAAGACAGTTACAACCATAATTGCTTTTCTGTTTGAAGAAAATTAACCGAAACACTTGACGAGAGTTTAAGTAAAGTAGTGATGGTGGTCCATGGGGAATCTCAGGTCTCAGTAAGAAGCTGCTTAAACCTTCAGGTCATCACATTTGTTTTCATCACTTTCAACAATGTTTTTTAATGATCTGATGATGTTTACGTCTTTCCCATGAATCCTTTCATGATTTTCTTTTGATTTGAAAACAACCATCATAATATTTACCCTTCATAGGAATGAAATTAATGGAGACCTTTAGTCGATCTAGGATCATTAATATCAAGAAAACGGAGGGAAAAGATTTCGATTTCATTGTGAAGTCTTATATTAAGCTGACGGACATGATGTTTCCATAAATCTTATTTCTTCTGAAGATTCAGGATCGTCTCAGGCTTATCTAATTCACTAAATTACACAATGTTCGGATAGCTTCAAAGACCTTTTTTTCCTTTTTTCTTGTAGTTAAACGAGACCACACAATTTTCTTTTTGTTTTTGACTTTTTAGCCACTTAAATTTTTGTTTCTGATCTCGAAAAAAGGCAATAAAATGAAAACTAATGATATGGCTGTCCTGAAAGTCTCTTGAAAATGAAAACAATGTCGTAGAAGGAGACATCAAGTGCTATGAGTCGAGAGTTTAAACAAAGATATCAACTAGAAATGGGCGTTGGCATCATGTGAAAGCGGTGCTGGTTGATATTTTGCCGCCTGACTGATCACTTTACAAACTTTCAATGTTTCATCTATGCACTGTTGATTCTCGTGATGCATCAGTTGATATGTGAAAATATTTATAAATTTCTCGATTACAGACATGCGTGGGTGGGAATTTTGAAAAGACAAAAAAAATAACAGAAATTTACCCAACCATTGAATGAAGATTAAAATTTATTTGAAAAGTTTGAATTTACTTCCCAATTTCACTAATGATTTTCCGATGTTTCAATTTAGTTTTTAAGTCCATGTGCTTAAATTTATTAGCACCATAAAGATGGAAATTTAGTGTTTTATGTTTGCCTTGCATGTGTTTAAAACACCCGATGCTAAGCTCTCTGCGTCTCACACTTTTTCGCCTTTTTCCAATTAATTTGCATTTATAATAAAATATCAAGAATAACGATCGAGAATCACAATAAAATGTTTAACAATGTTGTCGAGATCATCACTTTACATGACGAAAGGTGTTGTTTGTATGTTCGCGATGCTTAAATGGTTTAATGATTTAAAATTACATAATTTGATGAAAAGTTCTTGTTGCGGTCGTAAAGAGAATTTAACGATGAACCTTTTTACGTTTCGAGATGTTAATAATGTTAGCATCTTTCGATCTTCATAAATTCAAAAAGTGAAAGATGTGAAAATGTGCGTGACATTTACGAGACCAATTATGCGGTCGTTTAAAGCTACAACATGATGTCTCCCGCTCAGTTGCATATGTAGTGTTTAATATTTATAAAATTAGTGAATTTTTTACGACATGCTAATAAATGTCAAGAATATTTGATTGATTATTCATTATTACATTTTAGCTTTTTATGTTTACGTATGTTGAATGTTCTTTGTTCACTCAAATGCCTTGAAAACAAGAAATGAAAAAAAAATTGTTTGTTTGTTTTCTTTAAAGATTTCTTCGTAATTTTTTTTTTTTCAAAGCTCAACAACACAAATGATTAAGAAATTAACGCTTAAAGATGGAAGGTTTTTCTTCTTGTAATGGAAACACGTATTAAGTCTATTTATCTCAAAGCGCGGTAAGTCTTTTGTCGTGTCTCACCAAAAGCGATTCAATTCAAAATATTTTCGTATTCTAATTGGGTTGTAATTACCTCAAAAGCTTTTTTCAAATAGCGACTTCAAAAGAAAACTATTCACTAGTCAATAAAAGACGGGTCCGAGTTCAAGATTAATTTTCAATTTTCTCTTGCAAGCATGAAAAGTGATCCACTGCGAACAAAAGAGTGGCTTGAAAGACCGCAAAGTGATTTATGGTTGAAAATGACAGTGATGATGATGGTGGGATGGTTAGTTTGTGTATCGAATGAATGGTGAATTCCAATTCATTTCAAACGCAAACTCCTTTAACTTCAAGTGCTTGTCGTTTTAAAAGTCTAAACACATGAAAAATCATCGCTGAATGAATAATTGACATGTCTATTCAAGAAAGACTTTGCTGTGTTTCTTATTTGTTTATTTATGCGCATCGTAACGAAACAACTTATTCGAGATTCCCATGTTGTTGATGCTTTGAAAATCATTCCTTTCAACTTGAGATAGCTCGCATGGTTCGTTGATCGGTTTCAAGTCGTTTGATGATTGTTTTGAAAGATTTCAAAGCGGAGAAAATATCAATTAGTGGTGAAGCTTCAGTATAAAAGCTTCATGCTGCCAATTTCTATTCGGATACGCTTGATTAATTATCCAATACTCCTTCAATAATAATAATGATGATCACGAATTTATGATGAATTGTCAGAGGTAGCTGATGTTCCAACATGTTTTCAAAGAAGTTTATGTTAATCGCGGGGAGAAATCAATTATCTCTAAATAAACCTTTTAATCTTTCGAGATCATCTCACAAGATAATATCGAATGACATCAAACGATTGCCGCACGAATATCAATTTAATGAACTAATTTGCTTCAATGGTCGATGCCGCAGAAGGAGAAGAAATATTTTAAAAATGTGCTTTTAATGACAATATTTAAAATGAGATGAAATACTAATCAGAAGGATCTGATACCATAAACAATTTCGGTAAGAAAAGAGAGAAATAAATGAAATTGGAAGTCAATTTAAATAATTATTAGTGATAATATCAATTTTAAATCACACACAAATAACAGCTTCATTTGCATTCATCCAACATCAACTCCGGATTGAGTGGAGGTGATTGAGTTTTTAAATATAAATATTTATTAAATAAAGATAAGAATTTAAAAGCGCTTTGGTGGCTGGGCTGGCAGTCGTAACAACATCAAGCAAAATAATCAAGGAAAAAAAAACAAAAACCAAAAAAAAATTAAACTGGAAATTCTTTTAATTTATTCAAATTGCTTTTAAGCTACCAACCAATTCATTTCTCTTCGATTGATCGTTGTTTGTTTGATGATTGCGCGGAGGCTTCTCGTGTCGATTGCGAACAAGCAAGAGAGAAATGAAAATTAAGTTTTATAAATTTGTAGTCGGTCTTGTAATTCCTTCTCATCTCTCTCTCTTTCTTTTGTTTTTAAATGATTGATGAATTTATTTTTCCATGCTTCTTTTTTATTTTATTAGTTTTATTATTGTTTCAATACAATCATTTAAAACGAGCTTGCTTTGCATGGCAATCAGACAAACTAATCGATCGTGGCTTCTAGTTTTGTATGTTTCCTGATCAGTAATTATTAAAGTAAATGGAAGAGAACCGAGAAGCTGTAATTAAACGAAACAACCAGCACCAGCTTTGAAGTAAAATCACCGAAAAAAAAGTCATCGATAATGTGAATGTTTAAGAAGTTGAAGCAGAAAAATTATCGAAGCTGGGCACTAAACCGCTTTCAACAGCATCATTCGGTTTCGGTGAAATCAGAAAATTACGAGCCAATAAAGCTGTTGTTTTTGTTGTTGCACCCTGTTGAGGTGACATTTCAATTCGTTCCTGAATAAAATATGACCATAAACTTCACGCAGCTTCTCCTTTCAGCTCCACCCGATAATGGGATTTCACGATTGTAAGGCCTGAAAGAAAAATGTTGCTGCTGTCGCGCGATAACGTTTCGCCGTTTGTAACTTTAATAACAGTTTATCGGGTTGTGATTTTTTAATTTATCCCATGTCTTGAAGCATTTCAGGCAAAGTCTAAAGGTCAAACGAGAGTTGACGTGTGTAAGCATTTCATTTTTCTTTAAATAAACTAACTGGCAAAAGCTAATTAAGTTATCTAAGCATATATATTCACATAAATATTTATTTTAAGATGAAATGTGTTGTCAATATCTACCGACTTTGAGCAGACACACAACAGAAGAATGTCAATCGTTTGGCGTATCATAAAATGCAAATTTTTATAGCCAATATTTTGAAGTTTCTCAAATATTTTCCTTTTAATTATTTATGGCGTGATTTACAAGCATTTTTTCAAAGTCAACGAAGTTTAGCTACTGGAAACGTTTGGTGTCTTGAAATACTATAATTAATAGTTTAAAGCTTTCAACTTCACAGTTCTGGTTATCATTTCGATTTTATGACAGTTTCGTTTGTCCGCACTAAAAGTAGGATTAACAGGAACGAGTTTAATGGTTTGTCTTAAAATCATTTTTAATGTAGTTTCCTAATTTTCAATAAGTAGCTACAAATATCTTGTTTCAATTGGCGGGGATTAAAAGAAGTTTAATAATACTATTGGAAAATAAAATTTAATTGTTGAAACTTTTCATCTTCTTTTGTTGAGTCAAAATATTTTTTGGAGTTTTAAATGTGATGTTACTTGAGTTATAACTCGTCTTGCATCTTAAATGAACTTCTTATTCATACATCACTAATGAAATACTCCCAGATACTTCTAATTTTATTAATAGATACTCCAAAAAAGTTGTTATACAAAGAAAAGCGATCGAATTCAACTGGTTTATTGAATCTTTATGGGTATGGAAATTTATCACGATCGCACCAATTATAACGCATGAATCAACATTGTATTCATCGGCTATTACAATTTAAATTAATACTATTTTCAAACAAAATCGAAAATTATTTTCCATCGCTGGACAATAAAGATATGAAATCTCAGCTCATTGTTAAGAATTCAATTTTTGTTTCTTTTACAATTGAAAGTTTTTTTTTATTAATTTTCTTGTTCAAAGCTTAAAAGGAGAAGTTAAAAAATATTGAAAATTTTCTATAAATTAATTATGTATTATCTTATTGAATCATAACAACACAAATGAAACTTTTCGGTTTCTGTTATTGAATGTTATAATTAATAAAATTACTTAAAGGGAAACTATCAATTATTCAATAGTCCCATTGGAATTAAAGTCGAAAGCAGTAAAAGGTGAAAACCAAATTTGGTTTCTTGGTCAGAGAGAAAGAGTCCAAATTGTTGTGCATTACATTCAAATGATCCTCCATAAAATCATTAAAAAATCTTGTAAGTCAAGGCTAAATATTTTATGTTATGTTGTGCTTCAAGATCATCACATTTTGGTTTTATAGCTAATGCTCTTGTTGTTGACATTCGTTCAGGATAAATTGAAGAATGAACATGCATACCGTAAAAAAACATTTCATAGAAAAACATTTTTTACAACCCCCCGATGGCTCAAAAACTCGACAAGGAACTTTTGCACAATGCTCGATATTTATGGCATGTTTACATTTGAAAATGCTGTTTGCGATTATGGACATGACGAGCTCGACTTTTACTGAAGAAAACAGTCACTCAAGCTGAGTGAGAGACATCATTAGACAATAATGAACCAAAAAATGTGCAACAAAAGATGTGCGATAAAATTTATTGTTTTACAACTTTTTTTATTTTTTTTTTGACTCGAACCTATTCATCATGGAATGCGAGGAAGTGCATTTTACAGTATCTCCTTAAACCATTTATTTTGAACAAAACCATCATGTTGTAAATTATGAAAGCAAATTGAATTGAGTTTCTGTGACATGTATCCTGTTGATTGATTCTCTGGCAACAACATGCTGAATATTTTATGCGAATAAGAAGGTGAAGAGATTTCTTTGGAAAAACAGTAAGCTTTTTGTACGATTTCGTGCTGTTGGAAAGCGAATGAATGCTGCAGAATTGTTTTTTAATACCAGAAGTGAAAAATGAGGAACACGGAAAATCGAGTAATTAATTTCAAGCCACAAGACGACAGTGGAAAGCGATCGCAGTAGGGACACGCTCAATCAAAACTTGAATATTTTAATTATTTGTTTTCATTAGTTGAACGGGATCACCGCTGTTATTTGAATTGAAATCGCTTCACGATCAACAAGCAATACAAATATCGATTAATCTTCTCAACTTCCATATCTCAGAAGGAGATAAACATAAAAACATGCAAAGCGATTATTGAGATTTGCATACAACAAGCATTTTATTCAATTAATCATCATGTTTACATTTTGATGCAATGTTCTTTCTCGCGTTCACATCTAAGTATTTATTTAATGTGTTGATTTCGAATCATAAAACTATTCGAAGAAACAAAACGAAATATTAATTAAAAAAGCATTTTTATTTAGTAAAGAAAGAGAATGAGAAACGTTCGTTATTAAGTTGTATAATTTCGAGTGGATGGCTCTGAAAGAATCAGAGAAGCTGCAGGAGGGCCACCGCTAAGCACCATACCGCTTGCTTAAGACTTTCAATTATTATTCCTAAGCCATTCTGAATACTCGATGAATTTTATTGATTCATTTGTAATTGTGAAGCATCGCATCGCTTTCCTGAAAAAACATTTTAAAATCTTAAATAATTGATGACTTCTGCACATGAGAATTTAAAATGAAAAAATGAAGTTGCATATGAAAGTACAAAACATTTCGATTGCTTGTTTGTAAACAATGAGGTGCTGGGAGATTTGTCAGCTGTTTAAATTGAAGCAGGTAAATATTGTAAAACAAATCTATAAACGATCAAACGACCAATAATCTCATGAAAAATTCACGAATACTTCGGTCGGTAGCATGACATCAAACGGATTTAAAATTTATGATTAGCGTGACACGACGCTTACGCTTTCTTTTATTTCACATGATATTTTCTTCCCTTTTGAAGGAAACAACATATGACATAATGGTGAGTTGGAATTTAAAATAGCAATTTGAAAATCGATAGAGACATCATTCATGAAAATTTGAATAAGAAAAGTTCTTTGAAAAACATTCAATGCTACGATTTTTTAATGAATCGTCTTCAATTTATGTTTAATGTTCAGCGAAACAAGAGACCTACTTATAAAGTTTTTTCGAAAGCAATCAACCGATTTAACGATCACTTCTCGATGCGGTAAACGAAAATGAAGATATTGCCATTTGTTTAATGTTTATGCATCGCTTTACTTAAGTAGCTGATGAGATTTTTAAAATTCTCTTTTAATTTTGATCGTCACAACTGTTGATGTTGGAGGCTTGACACAGACATTTGTTGGGGCTTCTTATTTTCATTTTATTTTACATTCACTTAATTCACTTTATCGATTCATTTCGCGGAAAGTTAAAATAAACAAACGTTGTTTCCAAAAGAGTAGCGCTTAAAAAAGACTCAAGTTAAGAGATAATGAATGAAAGAGACTCGTAAAAATATTGGAAATTATCATGAGAAACTGTTCATTGATTACAACCGTAAAGTCCGTAAGTGGATCACCAGATTCTTCCTACTCCAAAGTATTACTGCAAACTTATTTGAAATTTTATTTAAACTCGACCAAAAGTTAGTTAAGCATCCATATCACTTAAAGTGATTACACTGCTTAAGCTAATTGTCGAAAATGTTTTCATTTGTTTCATTCATTTCCAAACGAAAGAGATTCTTTAAGTGGACAGTCGAGAAAATTTAATTTACAGATTTTTTCTCTCCTTTCATGAAAGCATTATTGGCTTAAATATTTTCTTTCTTTAAACTTTTTGTAGGTTGATTATAAGATTAAACATGTTAAGAAGATAAACTTCAAGTCCTATTTGCGTTTGTAATTTCAAAAGTAAACTATTTAAAGTAAATGAAGACTAGTGAGAAATTACGCAGGTGACGGAGCTGAAAAATTAATGATTAGAGCGGTCATTTGATCAATATGTTGCTGAAAAATTTATAACTGCTTTCATGTAAGGAGAGACGCCGACTTTTAAATAACTAATTTGTTTAAATTGGGGTAGAACTTGTTTCTGCTTTCGGAATGAATAACGACATAATATTTATGCGATCTTACCCTATCACTCATGAATTATTTCCAATCAAATCAACCGCTTTGCATGACTTCTTCGTCTATCACATTTCTATTGTTCAGAGATATCTGAATCGTTTTAAATGAATAAAAAAATTAATTACTGTTTAGCTTTCTCTTTTGATATTCAAAGAAAGTTTAAATTTCTTAATCATTTCTTGTCGAATGTAGAATTCTCTGATCGTTACCGAAAATTTTTAAATTAAAACACTCCTAAATATGAAGTCACAAGCGAGTCTCACGACTGTAATTAAGAAAAGAAATGATGAAAGACTTACAAATTTCTTTTAGCTGCTTTTCTAACAACGTTAAACCATCGATCATCGTTTGTTGTTAAGCGACTGTTGATAACTGCACAACTTAAAGACGGAGGCAAACTTAGAGAATGGTTATCGCTTCTTTAGTAATGTAATCAAAATATTATTCAAATTTCTTTGTATTATGTCTTTAAATCTCTGTTTTTCCACGAGTAAAGATATTACACTGAAAGGGTATTGAGAAATTAAATGATTTTTGTTTTTGTCTTCGACTTGGAAAGGTTGTGAAAGAAACACGAGAGATTAAAACATCAACAGCGCACAGCTAATCCTACTGCTGTAATATTTAATTTTTTTTCCTCTTAAAATTAAAAAATGAATCTGCCATTCAATTAATTATTCAAATATCTCTGCTGATAATATAAAAGCCTAATAAGCATGGGAATGAAAATATTTAAGCTCGAAAGCTGAAAACAACATTAAGAAATCGGCTCCTTCAGCGGCTGTCCTCAAACGAATCGTCGATCGTTTTCGTGTCTCTTTTGTCTTTGCTGTTTCAAAGACTCGACGGTTCAAATTTATAAGAAGAAATTAATGAAAACATTTAAGACAACAAAGTTTTCCTTAATCTGAAGACATAGAAAGAGAGAGAAAGAGATAGTGGAGGAGAGAAAGAATTGGAATTTTTCAACATTTAAGATTATTCTTCTTATTCTCCTAAGTCGTTTGCTTCCAGAAGGGTGACGATCAAATCTTCACTCAGCAAAAAAAAAAAAGTTTAAAACGGAAGAAAATGAAGAAAACTAATCACCATGTTGTCAGCTAAATTGTTCATAAATAATTTCTTAGAGTTCTTCGCGCTGCCGCGAGATTTGCATAAAATTAATTATGTGTTTTGAGGTATTTGTGTTGCAAATCACGCGAAACTTTCAAGTTTTTAGCCATCTAAAGTGTTTAAATGTCCCGCTTTGGTTGCAAACAAACACTGAAATAATCTTTTCAGAGAAAAAAGTGATACAATTAATGTTTTAATTATTAATATTTGAATTTTGATTAACTCTGAAAATTGTAAGATTTACAATAGAAACATAAAATCAATGTCGACATGTTTTTAATGGGTTTCACTTATTTTACAATAATTATCGCATCATGAAACGCAGTATAACAATATCGTCGTCATCTTTCAACCATTCGAATGTTTTATTGCATAAATAAAACAAATGAATGAATCGGAATGACTGAATGAATGAATAACAAGATTTGTCTTTTTCTCTTAGTTTTGTAGTTTTTTTTCCCTTTCTTTCAATTGCTTTGGAGCAAAGTGCTAGACGATGTCACAAAGAACAAATCATCTGAACTTCATTTCCGCTATGGCGTATGTATAAGAATTTGAGTTTCTCAATTAGGTTCAATTCAATTATTTTCATTCTTCGCTCTTAAGAGTGATTTGCTGTATATATTTGTGTCATCAACATCTTTGTCACATATCATAAATTTCGTGAAATACAATTTATGAAAGATTTCGCAATTCGTTTTAATTAAAGATAAGAGTTGAAATCAAAAGAAAGTAAAATTGTTTCAACTTGAAAAGGAAACCAAAGACATTTCTCATTAAACATCTGAAAATAATATCAAATGGGTCGAAAACAAGATGCTTTAATTGATTTAAATTGAAGAATATTAAATTCTTTAGCTTCAATTGTTATGAAACAATGAGATGACTAATTCAATGATTTTATCAAGAATCATAAGTCGTTCATATTTATGAAGTGAGTAAGTAAGAAAGTCGGAAGAAAATTCATTAAATTGAATTAAATAATCAATTGACGATCAATCGATTCATCGCATCAATGTCTAATCTTATTAAATCATGTTTGATTTCATTTAAGAATTGAATTTCCGAAGCTTGTAAATAAATAAAATTGTAACGTATGCTTATTACAAAGGATACAAAACGAGAACCACAGGAAGTTTTCAATCAAAAGTTTTGTGTTGTTTGGACAGATTTATGAGATTTTCATTCCGAAGATATCTTCATTTAAGGAAATAAATAATCGTGAACCGAAACAGCTCTGTTATTATTTTCGGTTACATAAACACCGGCTAAGATCCTTTGAGGGTTTGTCTAAGATTTAACAAGAAGATTGTTTCCTGAAATTTTACCTAAATTGAGATATTAACTTCTAATATTGACATGCACGTTAACAACCTTATTAAATATTTTAAACTGAAATAAAATTGATAGGAAAACAGCAAAATTTTTAACGATCTTTGATTATTTCTTCAGAATTTATTATTTCTAATTTAAGATAATTTTCTTTTCCATTCTTAACTAATTTCTTATCTAACTAGGTAATTACAAGTTTATTGACTATTGAGATTGACATAAATATTACATAATTTATTTACAAGAGTGAAGAATTTCGAATTAATTTTGATTGGATAACTCACTTAACAATTCAAATCTATTGATTTGCTTTAGAAAAGCTTCCACACTGGTAATTTGTTTGCACTAAATTCAACAGTTGCATAATAAATTTGCACAATTCAACAACTTGAATAAATTTTACTACTAAAATCCTAACTGTGACGGGACACAACTGTGATAGGTTTGAATACCGTCGGTGCATGTGATGTCTGATTGGAAGGAGAAATGTGTGGTGCTGAAGTTTCATGATTTGGAGTTGGACTCAATTGTTGTTGTTGCTGCTGTTGATGATGAATATGAGCAGCTGCTGCTGCTTGTTGCTGTTGATGTTGAACGGCAGCAGCATGATGCTGAAGAATTTGATGATATTGCAATCTTTGGTAGAGCTCGGCTGAAGAGTTTGGTGAAGAGTTTGATGTTCCTATTAAACGATCAATCCCGAAACCAGCACCAAGAGGTAAAGGAAGTGGTAAGGCAGGTTTTGGTGCAATTTGTGGTGCATATGGTCCATATCTATACATTTGTGCAAGCGCTGCTGCTGGTGAAGGATACAAAAATTGACCAAATTGTGGATATCCAAGAGATGGAAACATGGGACCAACTAGTGACCGTTTGAAAGCTGCCAAACGGGATCTTGAAGCTGCTGTCGATCGTCTTCTTAGTTTTCCAGTTGATCCACCAATGAAGACATCTTCAGCTGATGGATCCAACATCCAGTAATTGCCTTTACCAGGATCGTCATAATGACGTGGAACTTTTACAAAACACTTATTCAAACTAAGATTATGACGAATGGAGTTTTGCCAGCCTTGCTTATTCTCACGATAATAAGGAAAGTTTTTCATGATGTACTCATAAATTCCATTAAGTGTCAGTCTTTTCTCAGGACTTTGTCTGATTGCCAACATAATGAGAGCATTGTATGAATAACTCGGCTTTTCATTCGACTTTTTTCCATCATTCGAATCTTTCTTCTCGTCACTTGTGCTGCTGGTTTCACAATCCTCTAACGACTTATCTTTATTACTACAAGTTTCGTGGCTATCATTTGTGTTATTGCATTCATTGATTTGAGGCGGTGGAGTGCCAGTTACATCTAAGTCTGACTCTGTATCAGTTAAATCTTCAGGCTCTGATCCAATTGGAGTGTGACATGGTGAAGGTGACTGTGAAGGCGACGTTTGCATAGTCTCAGGTAGAATTGAACTTATCGAAAAGTTTGATTTTAATGGTGTCCGAGCAGAAAGAGCGAACATCGTTTCACTGTTTAGGTTCATCATATTCATTTTAAGTGTCGGATACTCAGCTTTGACCATATTTTTCATTTAAATTCTTTTATTTTTAAAAATGTCTTTAATTAAGTGTTTTGCAATTTTTTATTTTATCACAAATATTTTTAATTTCTTTCACTTCACTTTTTATTTCTTTCCCGAAGAAATATTTTTGTAATCGATTATCTATTCAATATTCTTTCAAAAAATATTGAACTCAAACGAAATAAGCAGACATGTGATCGTGTTGAATTCTAACTCACAACTGGTTTTCTCAAATGCCCCACAACAGAGTTTTAAACGCTTTGTAGTTTTCTACCTGCCTCTCTCGACGATGACAGACCAATCATGGATTCTGTTTATGTTTGCACCAATACTACAAATGTGTTTACAAGCAAAACAATAAATATAAACAAGTTGAGTTGTTGAGTATGATGTTTACATTAAACACCACTACGTTTGACGACGATGAACAGCAGCTTAGGGAGAAATTGAGAAACGTTCGGTCGTTCCGTCATTCCGTTGTTTCTTCTTTTCGTCTTTTTATTACACTAACGATGAGGGAAAATGTTTTTTATATCACATCGCATCGAACACAGAACACCGAGCATCGTATTAAGCACCGCCTTCAAACATGACGATGTTTCTTCATTTCTTTGTGTTTGTTTGTGGCTGAAGGAAAAGTTTTCGGTTGTTGGTAAAACAGGATCGTTTGAGTTTGTAAACGTTTGAGGCAAGCGAAAAGTGTTTTCACAATATTTTCATACATAGTTGGGATCGACAACAAACAGAAATAAAAATTTCACATGCACTTTTGAGCGTTCTCACTTCTCATGCATGATGATATGCTGGATATGCTGCTGTGGTGTTAGTGGATAAAAGCATAATTATTAATAATTAAATATTAATCGAGAATCAGAAACAATTAATTTGTCATTAGATTTGAAGATTTCATAACTAATTAAAAATTAAATAAATATTATTTTTAGACATCCAAGCAGATGTGAATTTAAATTTGATTTTTTAATTTACTAAAATTGATTTTTCAGGTATTCAAATTACGGTCAAAATAAATTTTGAAGAAACTGCAATCAAATTGTTTGTTGTTCGAAACAATGATTTTCCAGGAATTTCATCCCATTTATCTTCATTTATTGCACTTTCAATAGTCATACTTGATGTTTGGTAAGTAATAAAGTTAATTTGTGTAGTTAAATATTTTTAGTGTGATAATTTCGTCAACGGATTTCTTCAAACTTTACCTGAAGTAACGAGAAATGTTTCAAATCTGGAGACGTTTTCTTACAGTTACAAAATTTGATATTTTAATGCCTATAAGTAATAAAAGTGGGTGGTTAATTTTAGATCTTCGTCACGCGTCTGACTTTAATGGTTTTTAATTAAATTTTTGAGATTAGATGTCGCACCTAAATTTAGAAGGAAATACAATCGTCTTTCATCACCATAGAAATTGTAATTTTCACACAAGAATATCCATACGTAGCTTCTTATGGTTAATGTGGCTTCAATGCTAAATGTGATTACGAATGGTTTTAAATACGTCCAAGGATGTGCTTCTTAGGAGAGAAAATCCTTTTAAAAATTATTCTTTGTGTATTCCTGCCGAGAAATTAAAGGATTGCAGTCATCTTGATCATTCAAAAGTTTCAATATGAAATCAAGGCTAGAAATAAGATAACATAATCGTATCCTAATTCAAAGCACTTTGTTTTGTCCGCTTTTCAATTGTATAGAACGTGCAATGATGAAATTATTTTAATGGAAGTCACACCTCCTGCTAAGTCAAATTGTAACAAAGGAAAGCCCAGCTAAATGGAATTGAAACATCAAATTAGATGTCTTTTCTATGTAATTTTTTTCTTGCAGTGTGGTGCCACTATGAGCAGAATACTGAAAGGTGATAAATTTACAAAGCACAGCGCATTGTCTATGGAAATTTTGCACCTGGCTCCTTAGTGTTTCTGAAGTTCTTTATTTAAACGGAAGCAGCACCTCATCATGCAAAAACAAAATTATTTCTTTTATTTGAAATAACATTCTTTCGACTGCAAACTTTTAAATATATTTTTGCATAAAAGCATATGAAAGTGATTTTCGGATTAGTTGTGACTTTAAAGAAGTTTTTATGTAAGAAACACAAACAGCGTTGCATTCTCCTGCAATTTCTGTCAACACGAAAAGAACAGCAACAAAAGATCCTTTTCAGAAGAATTTCTCATTGGATCAAACGATTACCGCATGCTTTTTTCGTCGCCTTCGGCTTCTATTAATGACTTTTCTTTTCTTTTCTTTTGTCATTTGAAAAACCAAAAATAAGAAAACAAAAATATCTTACAAAAAATCAATTTATTTAAGAAAACATTTCCTGAATACGATCGATGATGACTTTATTTTTGTTAACTTACTTTTGTTGTTATTTACTTAACATTTAAAGCAAAAGAAACTCAAAAAAGAGATGAAATACTTCAAGAAAATATTCTTGCTCGTTAACTTCAAAGTTGATTTTAAAAATATTGAAAATGATTAAAACTTTGCACCAATATTAGCAATTCTGCATGGTATAGGAAAATTTTGCTAATCGGCTTTCATTTACTTCTTCATCTTCAATTTCCAAAAATTTCTCGACACATTTTATTAATTTTTATGGCGTTTTAAGATGTTTCTCTATTATTCATTTACTCACCAAGCTTCTAGACAAGCTTGTAACGTAAAATGTCAATCCATTCGGATTATTTTAAGTGAAACAATCTTGTTATGATGTATAAAGCAAAAAAAGGAGTAAAACAAAGAAACTGGGTCAATACAAACTCAATTAATGCTGAATATTTTTGACGTTATTATTTTATTGCTGTAACTTCCATGAAAACCAAAGCAAATGCTTTTGAGGATAAATATTTAGTTGCAAAAGGCGTGGCAAAGGATTAGGCTTCGTTGTGGGATTGTTTTCTTTTCCTCTGAGCATGCTCTTAATCCCGTAATAAAATAATAAAATCAAAATATTTTCTTCTGTTTTACCTTTTGCAAAGCCTAATGACTGAGAACGTCCATTTTAACCCTTTCATTCTTTCTCATTTTGCTTTGAAAACTTTCCTTGTCGTGCTGCTTAAGATTTTATTAAACAGATTTAGTTATAAAACTTTTTTCGCTTTGACATGATTCAGCTACCGATTTGACTTCCAAGAAAGAAAAGACAGAAAAGCGCATGAATTTTACATTTATCTTAGAACGATTTTGCATAAATTAATCGAAGAAAATCTTCAACAGCAGATTCATCAAAGAAGTTTCCAGTAAGTATGTTGCGATTTGAAGCTTAAGTCAATTTGACACGCTTCTATTTGGTATTTCGGGTTACATCCTTCAATATTTCTTTTAAAATTTTCTCAAAAACATTTCAAATATAGGCTAGCTAGGAGGTCTCATCGATCTTCTGTAAAAATTGCAATTTTCACGGTGATGAATGATGATTATTTTGTCTTTGAACTTGAAATCATAGAACTTCGTAGCATAAAAAAGAAAAAGGCAGAAAGAAAACTGAAAGTCTAATGCGTGACGAAAATTCTACAGTTTCAAATTTAGCCACCCACTCTTAAGATTTGTAGGGTCTTCTAATGAAAAAAATCAGAAAGATTTCATTTCTGCAAATTTAATTAAGTTTCATCAAATTCCAAATATTTTTCATTACTTCAGGTAGAGTTTAAAGAAATCCGCTCACGAAATTATCACACTAAAAATATTTAACTACACAAATTAACTTTATTACTTACCAAACATCAAGTATGACTATTGAAAGTGCAATAAATGAAGATAAATTGGGACGAAATTCCTGGAAAAATCATTGTTTCGAACAACAAACAATTTGACTGCAATTTCTTCAATACCTTTCAATACCTGAAAAATTAATTTTA